CAGCCGCCTGGCGGCGGGAAAAGGCGCGTGCTAACATCGATGGCGTCATAAACCGGACTAACACCGGGAGAAACCAGATTAGAGGAGTATTTGTATTCATGTATTCCTCCAGGCTTGATAGCGTTTGTCAAGATGGGAATAACATCCGGGCACTCCGTGTCACGGCCATTCAGCCTCCCGCTGTCCACCACAATGCGCCGTAACAACACAAAAAGCACCGTTATTGAGAGCGGACAGTGAGCAGCGCGCGAGAAGTCGAACGAGAGTTTGGGAAAAAGTTCAATTAACTTGCATAATTGATCTTGATTAAGCGTCATGACGACACGTAAATCTCGTGCACGCATCAGCATTCTGTCAGTCTTTGCAAATCAAATGAAACAATCACGAGACTCGAAGTCGTTTTCTTCGATCAAATGGTACAAGGTTGAGATTTGATATGATTTTATAACAATATGGTTGGCGATTCTTAGAAATACGCATTTCAACGCGAGCGCAATGTGGCTACATTTGCTATTTTATTGCCATCATGACTTAAAGATAACTAAGTATCTTCATGGTAAACGTCGGAGAGGCACTTAGTAGTAGGAAGGAAGATACATAGCACTATATGGTGGTAGTATCTTCATGATTTCCGTGCAGCATGACGGCATGCTTCTTGCCTCTTCATCATCATCATCATCATCATCATCATCATCTGAATGGTATTCCAGCAGACCCGTGTAGATCCGGGTTAGAATGTCTTCAGCATTAATCAGCAACCCATGCTTGCCGTGAAAGGCGACTACATTTGTCTTAAGAGGCGACTTACGGGATCGGGTGGTCAGGCTCTCTGGTTGATAAATGTCATCATATGCGCAGATCGATGCTCATGATGTCAATCACTGGATTGCCCTGCCCAGACTCGGTTATTTACAGAACGCCGTCATATAGCTGGAATATTGAGTGCGGCGTTAAACAACAAACAAACACTTTCAAAATGTATCAAGCTATCAAACCGCATGTGCAATTTTTGGAAAGCTTGTTTTTCTCCATTCTCCAAGGGTTCTGAAACTCACCTTCCTAGATGTATTTGCATACTGAAGCTCACCTCCCTGACACTGTATTTGTACTCTGAAGCTCACCTCCCTGACACTGTTTTTGTACTCTGAAGCTCACCTTCCTGACACTGTATTTGCATACTGAAGCTCACCTCCCTGACACTGTGTTTGTACTCTGAAGCTCACCTCCCTGACACTGTATTTGCATACTGAAGCTCACCTCCCTGACACTGTATTTGTACTCTGAAACTCACCTTCCTAGATGTATTTGCACACTGAAACTCACCTTCCTGACACTGTATTAGTACTCTGAAGCTCACCTTCCTGACACTGTATTTGTACTCTGAAGCTCACCTCCCTGACACTGTATTTGTATACTGAAGCTCACCTCCCTGACACTGTATTTGTACTCTGAAGCTCACCTTCCTGACAATGTATTTGCATACTGAAACTCACCTTCCTGACAATGTATTTGCATACTGAAACTCACCTTCCTGACACTGTATTTGTACTCTGAAGCTCACCTCCCTGACACTGTATTTGTACTCTGAAGCTCACCTTCCTGACACTGTATTTGTACTCTGAAGCTCACCTCCCTGACACTGTATTTGCATACTGAAGCTCACCTCCCTGACACTGTATTTGCATACTGAAGCTCACCTCCCTGACACTGTATTTGTACTCTGAAGCTCACCTTCCTGACAATGTATTTGCATACTGAAACTCACCTTCCTGACAATGTATTTGCATACTGAAACTCACCTTCCTGACACTGTATTTGTACTCTGAAGCTCACCTCCCTGACACTGTATTTGCATACTGAAACTCACCTCCCTGACACTGTATTTGTACTCTGAAGCTCACCTTCCTGACAATGTATTTGCATACTGAAACTCACCTTCCTGACAATGTATTTGCATACTGAAACTCACCTTCCTGACACTGTATTTGTACTCTGAAGCTCACCTTCCTGAAACTGTATTTGCACGTCGAATTTCACCCACCTTACATAAAGGAAACACTTTGATATTTTGTCTGTAAAGGTTTTATATGGAAATAAATAATGAACAATGGCTTTGTCATAATTGCCACAACTACAAGAAGGATCATTTGAGATACCCAAGGTGATCAACACAACTGAGTCGAGGTCTACGGTGAATTATCTGGCTTGTTCTAGAACCAAAATATTGGAATAAATGATGTACTTTGCAGATAATACTTTTTCCATAATGCTTTTGAAATTCTGATACTGACTCGGGGGCACGGGTGGCCCAGTCGTCTAAGGCGCCGCGATTCGCTGTGCAGAGTTGCGTCCCTTGGGCACGCCAGAAACCTATGATTTTGGGTTCGAATCCCGGTTCGCCCCGATTATGTTTCTAGGTTTGTCAGCACCATACCCGTGCTCGTGGGTTTCACCGAAGTGGTAAACGTCTGAGACCAGCATCACTTCGGGCTTTCCTCCCACATTAAGCTGACACGCCGCGATATAACTGGAATACTGTTAAAAGCGGCGTAAAACCCAACTCACTCACTCTGACAGATCCACATATGGTTCTTAAAGCATCGAAGTTAAGTCTTCCTTAAAGTAATTCTGGACCCTTGCCGCAATTGTTCCAGATATAAAGACAATAAAGACAAAGGTAATATGAAAGAAAAATATAAAATCTGTATACTCTTTCTATTTAGACGATGTTTTAAACTGTTTAAGCAATTAACCATTGGAGGTGTATTTCATTTATATGTTGTTGCCGTTGACCATCACTTCGCCTCCGTGGTCTAGTGGTAGAGCGTCCGCCCGGAGAGCGGAAGGTCCGGGGTTTGATCCCCGGCCGCGTCATATCAAAAGACGGTAAAAGATGGTACTTGTTGTTACCGTGTCTGGCACTCGGCATTTAGGGGCTAAAACAAGGACTGGTCGGCTCGGAGTCAGTATACTGTGTCTGAGTGGGGTATTCATGTTAAACTGCGGCATGGTATCTTAGTGAGCAAGCACTATAAATCAGCATCAGTCAGGACTAGTACAAGCAGCCGCACGCACACACACACGCACGCACGCACGCACGCACATACCACAAACCACACACCACACACACACACACACACACACACCACACGGGCATGCACGTCGCTATATAAGTGCAATAATCTTGGACACGACGTTAAACCCAATTTCGCCTAACATATTTAAGTATTCACTTGATGTGACCGGATAACAGCATATAATGAAGTCTCTCCAACACATAAGTTGATATGACATTGTATGTCTTCAACAATACCATTAATGTATATTAGAAATAAGAGCGCCTCCATCACTGAACCTTGGGAAACAATCATGGTATTTGGTTTAAATCCATTGACTACAGTATACTGTTTTCTGATGATTAAATAGCTTTCAAACCAATCCACAAGTAGTGCACGTAAGCAGTTTAATGTTTCTTTTATGTAAAAGACATGTATGCCAAACTCAAAGGCTTTGCTAATGCCTCACAATACTGCTGTAAACTCTTTACTATTATCGGATGTTTTTTTACAATAACATCATACAAGTTAGTTAACTAATGCACAGTAGATTCGCCCTATCTAAATCCTGATTGTATTCCTCATATGAACCCATTATCGGGGAAACAATTTGAGACATGTTAATAAACACACCAGTACCTTGGATAAACAACTCGTAAGAGCGACAAGACTGTAATTTGAGCAACCATGAATATATTATTTCTTATGTGTTGGAACAAGAGAAGAATGTTTCCATATAACAGGAAGTTTCAAAAGCAAAAGTGAAGCGTTTAATAATGTACATAGTCGTTTAGATATGTGTGTAGCTATGCCCTTTAGAATACGATTATGAATATCGCCATGCCCTTTCGCTTCGCCCTATCCAGCAACAGTAAAATGTCGGTTACTTCAAATTTTTCTAGATGTATGTTTTGAAGACAACGTACGGTTTTCCACAACGTTCTGTACTACACGTGGAAAACTGGATCCCCAAAAAGCATTCAGCAATATTCTAGCAATATGACGACGGCCTGTAAATAATCGAGTTTGGACCAGACAATCCGGTGATTGACATCATGTGCCGCGATCTACGCGATTGCGATATGACGACATGTATCAACCAAGTCAGCGAGCCTGACAGTCCGATCCCGTTACTCGCCCCTTATGACAAGCATGGGTTGCTGAAGACCAGGTCCTCTTTCAAACTTTAAAATAAGTTAAAACGTAAGAAATACCCCCGCATGAGGAGACCATGCACGAAGCAATACTTGACGCCAATTCCGTTTATACTCCCCATCAACCCTGTCCCCTATCCCTTATTTATGAAATACATATATAAGGATGTCTGCTTATTTCGTTGATGTAACTGTAAATAACCTTTGCGATATATACAATGCTTATTTACGCGCACATGCAATTACGATGTCATGTTATTACTCGGCGCAGAACAATTAACGTCAAATGTCTCAGCTGATTGCGAAAAAACGTCATGTAGGTAATGGAAGTGGCTGCACGTGCAGTGTTTCCGCAAGCAACACGTGCAACACGATTAGTTTGACTTGGAGATACTTTACTCTTGCGTCACGTGAGATATGATAACAGTGTTGCCGTGAGTCAATATTAAGCTGATAGCACTGTCAGTGCAGCAATCATGCTGTGTTGCCGACAAGACAACCTCGGTGTGGCGGGACAATATATAATGCAGATGACAGTGTAATAGGAAGGCATGCCAAGTGGCAGCCAGATCTCCACATAATCACATTTGCTGTTCAACTCTCATCCTGACATGGGATTGACAGCCGGTTAATTCCCGACAGTTCCCATCTGGGACGGCTAACTCGATCAGCAGCGTGGTCGTGACATACATGGTAAGCATTAGCAACACGAAGGTGACTGATGAGGAAAAAACAACAACTTTAAGACAATAACTAACTTTAAAATTGCCACAGAACAGAAACCCACATGTCAACATCTGTTTTGCTGATGTTTTATGTGTTTCATCTCGGTGGTGATGTTGCTACATGTTGCAGTGTCCTCCGTGGTGATGTTGCTACATGTTGCAGTGTCCTCCGTGGTGATGTTGCTACATGTTGCAGTGTCCTCCGTGGTGATGTTGGTACATGTTGCAGTGTCCTCCGTGGTGATGTTGCTACATGTTGCAGTGTCCTCCGTGGTGATGTTGGTACATGTTGCAGTGTCCTCCGTGGTGATGTTGGTACATGTTGCAGTGTCCTCCGTGGTGATGTTGCTACATGTTGCAGTGTCCTCCGTGGTGATGTTGGTACATGTTGCAGTGTCCTCCGTGGTGATGTTGCTACATGTTGCAGTGTCCTCCGTGGTGATGTTGCTACATGTTGCAGTGTCCTCCGTGGTGATGTTGCTACATGTTGCAGTGTCCTCCGTGGTGATGTTGCTACATGTTGCAGTGTCCTCCGTGGTGATGTTGCAACATGTTGCAGTGTCCTCCGTGGTGATGTTGCTACATGTTGCAGTGTCCTCCGTGGTGATGTTGCTACATGTTGCAGTGTCCTCCGTGGTAATGTTGCTAAATGTTGCAGTGTCCTCCGCCGTAATGTTTTTACATGATGCGGTGTCCTGCGGCGTGATGTTGCCACGCGTAGAAGTTTCCTCCGTGCAGATGTTGAAACACGTTGCAGTGTCCTCCGTGGTGATGTTGCTACACGTTGCAGTGTCCTCCGTCGTGATGTGGCTACATGTTGCAGTGTCCTCTGTCGTGATGTTGCTACATGTTGCAGTGTCCTCCGTGGTGATGTTGCTACATGTTGCAGTGTCCTCCGCCGTAGTGTTTTTACATGTTGCAGTGTTCTGCGGCGTGATTTGGCTACGCGTAGAAGTTTCCTCCGTCGTGATGTTGCTACGTGTTGCAGTGTCCTCCGTCGTGATGTTGTTACTTGTTGCAGTGTCGTGCGGCGTGATGTTGCTACGCGTAGAAATGTCTTCCGTCGTGATGTTACCATGTGTTGCAGTATCCTCCGTGGTGATGTTGAAACACGTTGCAGTGTCCTCCGTGGTGATGTTGCTACATGTTGCAGTGTCCTCCGTCGTGATGTTGCTACATGTTGCAGTGTCCTCCGTGGTGATGTTGCTACATGTTGCAGTGTCCTCCGTCGTGATGTTGCTACATGTTGCAGTGTCCTCCGTGGTGATGTTGCTAAATGTTGCAGTGTCCTCCGCCGTAATGTTTATGCATGTTGCAGTTTCCTGCGGCGTGATGTTGCTACGCGTAGAAGTTTCCTCCGTCATGATGATGCTACGTGTTGCAGTGTCCTCCGTCGTGATGTTGATGCTGCAACATGTGTGCTTCTGTAAGCTGCTGTAGAGTTAACTGACTATAAAGGTCCATTTCCAACCCCTTACCGAACCAGGCTGGAATTTCCAGGCTCGAACGTAGCGCCACCAATGGCTTTAACGGGTTATGTCCCTTCAATGTCCCTCCTTTTGACCAATCAGATTCAACCTCTCATATCACTTGCATTTGCTTCAAACAAAATGGCGGCACCAAGTCAAAACGATCTGATCGATAATCAAGATCTTTATTGTAATAAAACGATATTTCTCCGCGAAGTGCATCAAATCACTTGAGAACCTTGATAAAAACACGAAAAGATTTGCGAAATATCTGTCGATATGTGTGGATGGTACACATGCCTTGCAAAGCCTGCAGTCGACCGAAATCTGCACATTGAAATCCATGTTGTTTACGAACCGGGTGTCTAGCTCGTAACGTAACTCCAGAATTCCAGCATAGTTTAGCAAGGGTAGGAACTGGACTTTTATTGTCAGTTAACGCCCTGGCCTCGGGAAGTTGAACTGGAACGTGTCTGATCATGAGTCAGAAGCCTTGGAACACTCTGAAACCCTTGTCCTGCACACGTCATTCCTCCGAATGTTCACAACTCTCTCATGAAAGATGCCTTCTGTATTGGCTATGTGACGTGTCATGAGTCGTCGATTTGCTATGGTCATATGTATTTTGTCAACGTTTTCCTTAGTGGTGGCAGGTCTTCCTGATCTTGGATCATCGCCGAGGCCTTCTCTTCCTCTCTTGGAGTCTGCTGACCTCCTCTTGAACAGTGGCAAGGGAAGGAGCATCATCTCATAGGGGTGACACCAATGGCTGTTGGAGTTTGGCCTTTCAGTTAGTTGGAGATACTTGATCACAGCATGGTAGTCACTTTTGTCTTTTCTCATCAACAGTGAATACCCAGTCACTCTGATGCCTGCAGAAATATGCTGCCTGGTTGTGTATATGGTTACTTTCGTACTTAATACATGTGAAACGCTAAGGGTGTACTATTCATCCTTCGTTGTTAGGCTCAGTGTGTTTATCTTTAAACTTGTGTTACATCTTCACATTGGAAGTCAGACCTTCAAAGAACGTGTCAAATCTTCACAATGTGTGTCAAATCTCCACAGTGAATGTCAAATCTCAACAATGTGTGTCAAATCTTCACAATGTGTGTCAGATCTTCCAAATGTGTGTCAGATGTGTCAAATCTTTTTTTCAAAATGTTTCCAATCTCCACAATGTGTGTCAAATCTCCACAATGTGTGTCATATATTCACAATGTGTGTCAGATGTGTCAAATCTCCATAATGTGTGTCAAATCTCCACAATGTGTGTCAGATCTCCACAATGTGTGTCATATCTCCACAATGTGTGTCAAATATTCACAATGTGTGTCAGATGTGTCAAATCTCCATAATGTGTGTCAAATCTCCACAATGTGTGTCATATCTCCACAATGTGTGTCAAATCTCCACAATGTATGTCAGATCTCAACATGTGTGTCAAATCTCCACAATCTGTGTGTAAGACCTTCACAATGTGTGTCTAATCATCACAATGTGTTTAAAATCTTTACAATGTGGGTCAGATGTGTTTAATCTTCACAATGTGTGTCAAATCTCCACAATGTGTGTCATATCTTCACAGTGTGTGTCAAATCTCCACAATGTGTGTCAGATCTTCACAGTGTGTGTCAAAACTCCACAATGTGTGTGTCAGATCTTCAAAATGTGTGTCAAATCTTCACAATGTGTGTGTGTGTGTGTGTGTCAGATCTTCAAAATGTGTGTCAGATCTTCACAGTGTGTGTCAAATCTCCACAATGTGTGTGTGTGTGTGTGTGTGTGTGTGTGTGTGTGTGTCAGATCTTCACAATGTGTGTGTCAAATCTTAACAATGTGTGCCAGATCTTCACAATGTGTGTCAAATCTTTACAATGTGTGCCAGATCTTCACAATGTGTGTCAAATCTTCACAATGTGTGTCAAATCTTCACGATATGTGTCAAATCTTAGGAATGTTTGTAATTTTTTTACAATGTGTGTCAGATCCCAACAATGTGTCTCTCATCTTTACAGTGAGTATCAAATCTCCAATATGTGTGTCAGGTCTTCACAATGTGTGTCAGCTTTTCACATTGTGTGTGAAGGTCATAGGGGTTGCTCGTTTCTCATCTAGGTTCATCCTATTATTGCAGAAATCCTGCACCCACCAAACAACACACGGGCCTCGTTACAATCGACGTAGAGGATGTATAGAGGGGTACGTGGATGCTGTACGGAGGGATGTATCTTTAGGGTTGTGTGGAAGGTTGTGTGAATGGTTGTTTGAATGGTTGCTTGGAGGTGTGTGTGTGTATGTGTATGTTTGTGGTTGTGTGAATTGTTGTTTGAATGCTAGTGTGTAGGTTGTGTGAATGGTTGCATGGAGGGTTGTGTGAATGGTTGCATGGAGGGTTGTGTGAATGGTTGTGTTGATGGTTGTATGGATGGTTGTGTGGAGGGTTGTATGGAGGGTTGTGTGGAGGGTTGTAAGGAGGGTTGTGTGGAGGGTTGTATGGAGGGTTGTGTGGAGGGTTGTATGGAGGGTTGTGTGGATGGTTGTATGGAGGGTTGTGTGGATGGTTGTATGGAGGGTTGTGTTGAGGGTTGTATGGAGGGTTGTGTGGAGGGTTGTATGGAGGGTTGTATGGAGGGTTGTGTGGAGGGTTGTATGGAGGGTTGTGTGGAGGGTTGTATGGAGGGTTGTATGGAGGGTTGTGTGGATGGTTAAATGGAGGGTTGTGTGGATGGTTGTGTGGAGGGTTGTATGGAGGGTTGTGCGGATGGTTGTGTGAATGGTTGTATGGAGGGTTGTATGGAGGGTTGTGTGGATGGTTAAATGGAGGGTTGTGTGGATGGTTGTGTGGAGGGTTGTATGGAGGGTTGTGCGGATGGTTGTGTGAATGGTTGTATGGAGGGTTGTATGGAGGGTTGTGTGGATGGTTAAATGGAGGGTTGTATGGAGGGTTGTGCGGATGGTTGAATGGAGGGTTGTGTGGATGGTTGTGTGAATGGTTGTATGGAGGGTTGTGTGGATGGTTGTGTGGATGGTTAAATGGAGGGTTGTGTGGATGGTTATGTGGATGGTTGAATGGAGGGTTGTGTGGATGGTTGTGTGAATGGTTGTATGGAGGGTTGTGTGGATGGTTGTGTGGATGGTTAAATGGAGGGTTGTGTGGATGGTTGTGTGGATGGTTAAATGGAGGGTTGTGTGGATGGTTATGTGGAGGGTTGTGTGGAGGGTTGTGCGGATGGTTGTATGGAGGGTTGTGTGAATGGTTGTGTGGAGGGTTGTGCGGATGGTTGTGTGAATGGTTGAATGGAGGGTTGTGTGGCGGGTTGTGTGGAGGGTTGTGTGGATGGTTGTATGGAGGGTTGTGTGAATGGTTGTATGGAGGGTTGTATGGAGGGTTGTGTGAATGATTGTATGGAGGGTTGTATGGAGGGTTGTGTGGATGGTTGTATGGAGGGTTGTGTGAATGATTGTATGGAGGGTTGTATGAATGGTTGTGCGGATGGTTGAATGGAAGGTTGTGTGGAGGGTTGTGTGAATGGTTGTGTGGATGGTTGAATGGAAGGTTGTGTGGAGGGTTGTGTGGATGGTTGTGTGGATGGTTGTGTGAATGGTTGTATGGAGGGTTGTATGGAGGGTTGTATGGGGGGTTGTGTGGAGGGTTGTGTGGAGGGTTGTGTGAATGGTTGTGTGGAGGGTTGTGTGGATGGTTGTGTGGAGGGTTGTATGGATGGTTGTGTGGAGGGTTGTGTGGAGGGTTGTATGGATGGTTGTGTGGAGGGTTGTGTGGAGGGTTGTGTGGAGGGTTGTGTGAATGGTTGTATGGATGGTTGTATGGAGGGTTGTGTTGAGGGTTGTGTGAATGGTTGTGTGAATGGTTGTGTGGATGGTTGTATGGAGGGTTGTGTGGAGGGTTGTATGGATGGTTGTGTGGAGGGTTGTGTGAATGGTTGTGTGGATGGTTGTATGGAGGGTTGTGTGGAGGGTTGTGTGGATGGTTGTATGGAGGGTTGTGTGGAGGGTTGTATGGATGGTTGTGTGGAGGGTTGTGTGAATGGTTGTGTGGATGGTTGTATGGAGGGTTGTGTGGAGGGTTGTGTGAATGGTTGTGTGGATGGTTGAATGGAAGGTTGTGTGGAGGGTTGTGTGGATGGTTGTGTGGATGGTTGTGTGAATGGTTGTATGGATGGTTGTGTGGAGGGTTGTGTGGAGGGTTGTGTGAATGGTTGTGTGAATGGTTGTATGGATGGTTGTGTGGAGGGTTGTGTGGAGGGTTGTGTGGATGGTTGTGTGGATGGTTGTGTGAATGGTTGTATGGATGGTTGTGTGGAGGGTTGTGTGGAGGGTTGTATGGATGGTTGTGTGGAGGGTTGTGTGAATGGTTGTGCGGATGGTTGAATGGAAGGTTGTGTGGATGGTTGTATGGAGGGTTGTGTGAATGGTTGTGTGGATGGTTGTATGGAGGGTTGTGTGGAGGGTTGTGTGGAGGGTTGTATGGATGGTTGTGTGGAGGGTTGTGTGAATGGTTGTGTGGAGGGTTGTATGGATGGTTGTGTGGAGGGTTGTATGGATGGTTGTGTGGAGGGTTGTATGGAGGGTTGTATGGAGGGTTGTATGGAGGGTTGTGTGGCGGGTTTATGTGGAGGGTTGTGTGGAGGGTTGTATGGATGGTTGTGTGGAGGGTTGTATGGAGGGTTGTATGGAGGGTTGTATGGAGGGTTGTGTGGAGGGTTGTGTAGAGGGTTGTATGGGGGGTTGTGTGGAGGGTTGTGTGGATGGTTGTGTGGATGGTTGTGTGAATGGTTGTATGGATGGTTGTGTGGAGGGTTGTGTGGAGGGTTGTGTGAATGGTTGTGTGAATGGTTGTATGGATGGTTGTGTGGAGGGTTGTGTGGAGGGTT